TTTGTTGCTGAGATAAAGATCTCTATAGGATACAGATACACATCCCACTTGTGACATGTTATTCTTGATGATCAAATAAATAGAATTTTACAGCTACGTTTCCTCTTATCTGCAATTCAAGTATCTTTTGTCTTACCATCAGAAGTGCAAAAAACCCTTCATGTTTTAATATGAGTATCGATCCCCAGCCTTGCTACTCAATTCAATAATCTTAGAAAAATGTTGTTCAAATTGTTAACTTCTACTCAGACGCCTTGATCTAGTTGAATTGGTGGACGGCTGAGAAAGAAAGAAAGCTGTGTTATAAAGGGATTGTTTGATCGATTACTTACCAAGTTCTTGTGAAACTTGAGTATGACCAATCAGAAAATCATTGTTGCTATGTTCCTTTTCTGTTTTTATTGATCAGTGGTGAAGAAGCTCTGTTATAGATGCTTCTTCTGTTTCTGTATGAACTACTAGCAAGAGTGATAAAAGTTATTTATGGGCTTTATCTGCAAGTTGATGGGCTGCACTTTTTTTTTTTTTTTTTTTTTTTTTTTTTTGCTTTATACCATGTCAATGCAGTTGCAATTTACAAAAGTAGAAGTTCATTCCACTTGAGACCTCCAAAATCACCTAATGAAAAGAAATGCTAATTCACATCAGTATTAGACCATTATGTGAAGATCAAGCCTACATCTAGTTTTGTATAAACGAAGAAGAAAGTGATTTTGAGAATGATGTTATAAACGAATTTTCTGTATCTAAAAGACACATTACTCCGAAAACCAACTAGACTTAAAATCCCATGATACTTTATCAGATAAATGAAGTATGAAGGACAAGGAGGACCAAAATGAATTAAAAGGTAGTCTCAGTATCATATGTTCTGTTAAGGGAAAAATACATATGATTGATTTAGTGTAGTCAATAGTTGTTGCCATTCTGCTAAGAATTCTTTTATCATATCTCAGTGGTGAGTGTTGTGGTAACACTCACACCTGGGCCTCTGATCCTGCTTTTTGGCTTGAAAACAACAGTTTCTCTCCAGTTTAACTAACATGAATAAAGCAGTCCTATTATCCATTTAAATTAGGCAACTCAACTATTGTACAGTTGTAGTAGATGTTAAGTAGTTATTTTTGAGTAATTGGTTTGGTGTGTGTCAGGCTATTTTCGAGCACCTATGGAGAGACCCCCAGGCCCAGCAAATAATAATGTTGGTTTTCAACCCACGGTTCCAGGTGGAGCTCCAATTCCAGGTGATTTAAGCAAGCAATTATTATATTTATTGTTTATCTTATGGATGATGGTTGGTGGATCTTGACTTGTGCTTAATATTAATATTAACTCCATTCAGGCCATAGTGGTTCGATGATGATGCCATGTCGGCCTGACATATCATCACTCAACTCTTGGAGGCCACCTTAAGATATAGGTGCAGCTAGCCCAAGACATGGATACATCAATCGTACATGTAATGTAAGCTCCTTGTAATAATTAATAATTAATAATTAATAAACAACAAGAACGGTGTAAAAAAATGGTACTTGGAATAATTTGAAAGTTTTTTTGGTTGCATTGTGTGTCCAGTTGTAGGTGGGTTGTCATGACATGACTCATAAAGATTGGAAGATATGGGTGCGTGCCTCCTTTTTTCTGTTTGATGGGAGGGAGTTGTGATTTGTGAAGGAAGGGGGGCATTGCAGATTGTATATTCTTCTAGTGTTTTCTCTTGACAAATGCTTCCCGAACGAGTGTAAGCCCGCATCACTCATTTCATACTACTACATTCATTCAACTAATGTAAACTAGAAGAAGATATATACTCTACTTACTACTACTACTCACTCACTACTATATAAGTCATTTATCTTTACAACTAAATGAGAAGAGTTATATTACTACATCCCTTGCCATCTCAGCTCAAATACAAATACACTATTCACTATTCTTATGCTGCTTCTGCTTTTTAACTCCTTTCTTACTTGTTAATAACATTAGCCCCCTATGTGTATTTGAAATCTTTTTGTATTTTGACTTTTCCCACTTAGTGATTGATATGTGGGTCATTTCACCTTTGCACAAGGATTATGATGCTTTGTTTTGTAAAATCAAAGACAAGCCATCTTTTTTGTTTAATTAGCTAGTCTTTGGTATGACAGGAATGGAATGGCTCATTCCACTAAGATGAAATAAGTTCCTGATTCCTTCCATTTTCTTATTTTTCATCCCATCATGGAATGGAGTGAAAGTTATAATTCAACACTTCTTTTTTGCTTTTTAATGAGGCAATTTTTCATCAAGTTGAAGATTTTTTCCCCCCCTAAAATGTGACTAATTTTTTACATTGAAATCTTTTTTGCTTTTTATGTAAATAGTAACTTGTAGATTTATACAAAAATAATATACAATGTAGTGTTATTTTCTATTTATGTAGGAATGGGATGGGAGTATTCCTCGTGAAATGTGATTCTTTTTTGTGGGCTAATTTTCATTCCATGGGCAAGCTCTATTTTTATTTATTTATTATTTTTAATTCCTTGAGGGAGTATAATGATATATTATAAATTACTTTTCTATTTATGTAATCTTCAATAACAATTTGTCAAAGCATCAGACTTCAGTTAAATCAAAATTTTGTGTTTTTTCCAAAAGTAACAAATAATGTTTTTCTTATTATAATTCTATTTTATGATTTCATGGTATTTAATTCTATTTAAGTTTTCATTTTTGCAAACAATTATTTCAAAGGGATAAATTGATTATTTGAAATACATGTAGTACATATATTAAACTACTTGAAAATTTCTTATATGTAACTTTTTATTTGATTTTAGAATCTTTATAAAGATAACAATTTATTATCAGTTTATCAATTTAAATTATTTTGTTTTTTAATGGTATGTAATAAACGTGTTTTGAATTGTGACCCATTCCATTACTTTTGTTCATTATATTCATTTGTTATTACTTTCTATCATAAAGTCGATTCTTTTAGGTGTTTATTCTGAGTACTGAGGGAGAAAATGGGGACATAAATGGATTGTGAATGTGGTTCCAAATTCCAAACCGATTTGTTTTTTTTTTTTTTTTAATTATTCTAACATCAAGTTTTAGTCACTCCTCCACTGTAGTTTTTGTTTAGTTTGGTAATTTATTGTTAACTTGTGTCTGGTATCCTCAGTCATAAAACAAGGTTTAAATTTTGCCCATTCTTAATCTTGTTTGGTACAAATAGTCCCCACCCACCCCCCTTCTAGGGGTGAGCTCGGTTCCGGAACTGAATAGGACCAAAAAATCGCAAATTACATATATTCGGTTTGCAATCGGTTCCATCTTCTTTTGTGCCTACTTGGGACAAGGAGCAACAAATGCAAGACCGATCTGTTTTCCAAAACATAAAACAAGTAAGATCTTGTTACCTGATTTTAACCCACTTCATTCAATAATATTTGCATCAAATATTATCTTTTAATGGTTACTTTACTTTTAATAATAATAAAAAAAAATCGTTCTAGCAGTTGTATAATATTTCCATCATGTTTTATTTTAATAATAATTACATACGCTAATACTAATACTTTACGTGAACGCTAATTTCAAGTTCCAAATATCTCATCTCATCTCAGTTTGTAATATATTTGTTCTTCAAAAATAAATGTCACGTAATATTTGTTTTGAAATATCTCGTATTGAGATATGATGTATGCCTAACCGTAAAAAGATTAGATGAGGGAGCTTTATAAAACATTTCTTATACATGGTTAATCATTTACTCTTGAAATTATATATGTACGTGAAAAGGTTTGTGATGTATATATTTTTATTTAATAAAGTTAATGAAAAAGTATTTGTGGGTTTTGACTAAAGTCAGAAAAAAAATTAATTACCTCACGTAAAGGAAAGAGAAAAAACGAAGTTGAAACAGAAAAACTGAGAAAAACAAGGTGTGAGATTGTACATTTGGATGGCTATGAAACCAACTCGTTTATGTAGTTTGATGTTTTTAAAGCACCCATCGACCTCTTGTCTTGATAATAAAAATATAAATACTAACTCAACGCATTCTTACATACACCAATAAAATATAATTAATCACATCAACAGTTGAACAAAAAATAATACGGCAGGCAGATTTTTTTGTATTTTATTTTTCAAATTAAAGCAAGGTAACTTAACTACCAGACGCAGCTATTGTAGTAGGCATGCAAGTTCATTTTCTGCAAACTACACATATTCAAAGTAACCATCGAGTGTCCTTTATTTCATTGTTTATACTTTATTTATTTTGAACACAAATCATAACCTGAAAATTAATTATGTAACCCAATGCTGCAACAAAAATCACATACAATCAGTACAAGTAAAAAAAAAAGGCTTCTGACAAAAATGAATTACACAAAAGGTATATTGTCAATGTAGTTGATTCTTACACAAGAATCAACATTCTTTTACTCTTTTTACCCATAATACCAATTTCTTTATCCATAATAGTAATGCACAATAGCAGTGTTCTGCTTCTGCACTTGCAAATCTGTACACAAATATTAATAGCAAACTACTTACATTTCTTTACCCATGTAAACAAATAAAGTAGATTTTCCATATTGGTATCAAAATGCAAGTACATTGCCAAAATTAGTATGTTGCTACTCTGGGGAAACAAATAAAGTACATTGCTATTCTCACTAAAGAAATAATAGTATGTAATGCTATTATGGGTAAAAAACATATAAGTAGGTTGCTATAATGAGTAAAATAAAGTGCATTGGCAAAATTGGCATCGAGAGTAAAGTATGTTGCAAGTAGCCCAAAATAAAACCATAGCAGTTAAAATTATTAATGCTTCTGTTGTATGCTATAAAAAGAAATCCCAAACCGTCATCAGATGAGCAACTTCTGTTTCTACATTAGATTAATGTACTACTTACTTATTATCTTCCATTTTCTGTTTTACTAATTTGGTTACAGCCTCTTATTTTATAACTTATCTAAAAACCTCCTTTACTTATAGTCTTTAAATTGTTATCAGAGTAGTTACTTTTACTCTTTACACATTCACCAGTATATCTTATACTGACTAAATATATGAATTTAATATTCAAAAAATTTGGGATAACAAAGTGTTGAAAGAAATAAACAAAAGGTGAGAAATAACATATCTCAAGCCACATGTTTCTTTCTCTTTTTTTGGTTTCTTCTCTTGAGGAGGAAGATGATGATCCGATTCACCAGTATACCTTTGCAGGTGTTGAAAAATGATGACCAGAATTAGTCAAAGAGCCTGCAGTTGACCTTTCGTATTATCTTTCGGGACTTCACTAGGCTCCAGATAACCATCTTGTAATCATTCTTACCAATTGTCAAGTGTCACATAATAAGGTCATTGAAGCTATTATGGTATTACTATTGGTGCACTAGCAAAAAATGAAACATATTACTCCTATCCTATGCTTCAAGCCCAAGGGTTATGAATGCATAATACCAATTCTTGAATCTGATAAAAAAAAACCATGGCTTTTGGTTCTGGTGCTGCAAGGCTGACAACATCATACAACTTTCCTGACTATATCAACATATTGAAATAAGAAGAAGCAATAGCCAATAGCCAATAGCATAAAAGAAACTTAATGGCTTAAACTTATGCTCACAGGATAAAGAAACATCACAAGTGCCCACGATCATTATGGAGACTTGTCGCCCATGAAAATTAGGAATCTGCAATGCCAACCAACAATGAACAATTACACAACTTTCAGTGACTACATATGACTTCATAAATAACGACCCATGTTACAGGAGAAATGGTGTTTTTTTTTTTTTTTTTGGTGTCAATCTCTCATGAATGGAATATCAAATAACAAATAAAGGGTGACATGACATCTACATCTTACCTCTTCTTTAGGCCACAGCTCAGTAGAATCTGTTGTATTTGGTTCCAATTACAGGAGCTCTCCTCCTCAAATCCCAACTGGCTACCAACAATAGCATCACCCATTACAATGATTGTAAACTCCATACTAAATATCATGAAAACTTATCAAGTACAGATATAAGATCACCTGTGCAATCAATCTAAATTGGAGAAAAAGGTCTGGAATCCAGGATCAAGAAAAAAGAAATGTTATCAGCAGAGAGTAAACAAATGAACACAAGCTCAATATCACACAAACTATCAGGTGTTGGTTTAGATATTCTCATTTTTGTCAGACAACTATAGCTATGAACTTGTGATTATAACTAAAACTACATTACACCTTGATAAAATTAGTAAACCTGAAAATTATGCAGAGCTAATATATATTAAAGCGTTTTAGGAGATTTCCAAATTGAACTTTAGTAGACAGTATTATCATATGTGCAGAGTGCTTCTTCTTATATGATAAGCTTGAAGGGCATAAGCAATCCAGATCAAATACACGTTGGGCCGAATGATTCCCAAATAGGTGATAGAGGTTGTGCATCATCACAAATTATCAAACAGGAACACATATTTACAGCACGCAAACAAAGAAAAAAAAAAGCACTAAATGATGAAATGAAGATCCTGCATATGCATGCTATCACCACAATTATGAGCAAGAATGTATATCAAAACTAAAAATTCAGATAGAATTAACACTGCTTTCACCATATTAAAACAACATTGTGAAGTATTCATGAACAATATTAAATGATTCAAATCCCCGACTTTAGTATACTTTACACTATTCACAGAAGACGACACGCAAAAACCCACAGAAGTATTTATAGCAGAAGAAGAATGAAAGGATTAAGATATACCGACCTGCAAGTGCAAGCGGTGATGATGATCGAGGTGGATGGGCAACAGCTGAGCCTACCTGGGATTTGGGGGATGCCAGAGCTGCACATTTGGACCGCGTTAGGTTTCTTTTCCCGGACCGGGTCGGAGGTTTACCCGCGGATTTTTTTTTGCCTACCGGCTTTTACGGATCGAAATTTTAATACTATAACATTAAAAATGATAGTTTTTTGTTTTTATAAAAGTTTTTCTGGGAAGCTTTTTACAGTTTTACTATTGTTATAAACAATTTTTTTTTTTGAAAACTCAGTAATCTCTTAACATTTTAACATTTTTATGGTTTTGTCTTTTTTGATCTTTTATACTTCGGAACAATTTAATTTACACTGTAGTTATATTTTGATATTAATTATTTTATTACATAATCTATTTGATTAGATATACACAGATACAAATTAAAACTTATTACATAACGCGTAATTTAATCATTTTTTATTTACTAAAATGTAAAAAATATGATGTAAACTTAGAAATTGAAAAATCACTAATTTATATAACATATGAGAAAGATAAAGATAAACTGGTTAATTTTAAAAATAAAATAAAAATAACAATTAAAAATTAATTATTAGAGTCGGTTTATAACAATAGTTGTTTTTATTTTTATTTTTTTATTTTTTAAAGTTAGTGGAAATGTAATATGACAAAAAAAATATTAACTATTGAAGATGCTTTTAGAAACACGATACTAAAGTGCCATCATTTCCTTTCAAATTGGAGAAAATTTTTATTTTTCTGCCTAATTGATTCTTCTTATTCGTTCTGCTATACATCGAAACTTTTTTCAATGATTCAGAATTACACTTAATCTTCTAAGTATAACCATGTCCACTAAACTTTTAGTAAATCATGACGAACAATCTTATCATTCTTTGTGGTGGATCTGACTAGTGCACATCAATGTGTACCAGATTGTAACATCCCAACTCTCATGTATAATATTTATATATTTATTTTTGGGATTGAATGAGTGACTCGACGAGTTGTATGCCCGACTCGTCGAGTAGAGTCAGATTGGTCACTTGGGTTTAATGACCAACTCGACGAGTCAGAGAGCCGACTCGCCGAGTTGGCGCTGTGTGAGGAAACCCTAAATCTCTGGGTTTGTGTCCTATTTAAAGGGCCTTAAGCCCTCATTTCCACCTCACCAGCCACCCAACTCCCCTGTGTGAAGCCTTAATCGCCTAGAGTGAGCTAAGAGAGAAAAAAGAGTTAATCTTGGGCATTTTTGTGATCTTTTGGAGGAGAAGTGGAGAGCATCAAAGCTTGGATCCAGAGATTCCTCAGAGATTTGCTTCAGTTGGAGGTAAAAAGATGCTAACTTGATCATTTCCTTATGAGATCTTGGTTTAGGGAGTTTTTAGGATTTTCTCCCATCTATCTTGTGTCATTAAGTCATTTGAGCATGGCTTGAGGTTGAAACCTCAGATCTGGACTGTAAGAGGCCTTGTGAGTCCAAAGACTCGAGCTTTATTGAGCTGGAGGCAAGCTCTTATGCATCTAACCCTTGTTGGAGCTTATATTGGCATTATGAGCCTAATATGTCATGCATGCACGTAAAGCTTGCAGCTTTACGTGATATTCGAGCCTTAGGAAGATAGATCTGGAGTATGGGGTATCAGTTCTGCCTTAAAACGTCTGAATGAGAATTCGACTTAAGGGACTCGACGAGTCGATGAGCTGACTCGACGAGTCAGTTGGAGTTTGTCCCGATGAGTCTGAACACGCCGTAACTCGACGAGTTGAGGGGTCAACTCGGCGAGTTGATTTGGACTTTCATGAGGGTTGTGAGGAACCGAAGGGACTCGACGAGTCACATAGATGCACTCGACGAGTTGGGTCAACATGGACTGTTGACTCGAGTGTTGACTTCTGTTGACTTTAGGGTTTGGTCAAACTGATGGATGGAGGTCATTGAGGGGTAAAATGGTCTTTTACCCATCCCAAGAGTTAAATGGGGACTAACACGAGTTTATTTGGAGTTGTGATCTTTAAGTGTTAAATAGAGATGCTTATTACATGTAGGCGGGGATTAGACTGTTCGAGGGGTATTCAGTTTCCTTGCTTGCTTACGAGGTGAGTCTTCTCACTATACTTACCTAGAGTGGTAACCTTTGTGTGACCGAAGGGTCTTATGTGTAGGATTTTGAGCATTCTAACACTCCTAAGGTGTACATGCAACCCTAAATACCTTGGATCTATGTTTTCTCTATTATACATGCAAACATTCAATATTCCAAAGCATCATCCTAACTAATATACAATGGAGTATAAACAACATGAAATACAAGTTAGATGACATACCTTTTAGTGTAGTTGAAACCTTGGACATTTAAGAAATTAGTTCCCCAAGTGTTGCACCTCAAATGGAATCACACAACACCACCAATGTGACAACCGTCAATTTTTTGTCAAGACAAAGTCAAGTAAAGTCAACAAGTCAAACGGGTCAACTCATCTAACCCTTGGATATTAGGATTTACAATATGTTTTCTATTGTACAACGCACCGTCTTAATACAAAGTATCGCTTAGAGGTTTCATGTGTTCAGGAAATCTAAGCCCTAATCAGATGAAGTGATGTAACGACTCGATAAAACACAATTACATACCTTACGGGGGCGCATAACACTCATAACAAGGCTTAACGGGGTTTACAAACCTTGCATTAGGAGGCAAAACACTAACAAAGGTCGCAAAAAAAGTCTCTCTCAATCTCTCTAGCTCTATCTCCCTCTCTCTCTCCCAAATCTCTCTCAAAATCCCTTTTAACTTTTTATAATCACCCGGGGCATCCCGACCCTTAACTTTGTCAAAAATCACTCGAAACGAGAAGTTTATTTGAAAATCAGCCATATAGAACCGAAACTAGCTTTAAGGACTGAAGCCCTAATAGAACCAAACCTCCCTTAAAGAACCGAAGTCTCCTAGACCCGAAACCTCCTAAGACCGAAGTCCCTCTTAAGGACCGAAGCCACCTTCGGTTCGGTTCCTTGCATTTCGGTTCGGTCCATCACATCGGTTCGGCTCCAACACTTTCGGTTTGTCTCGCCTTCGGTCCCACACACTTCGGTCCTATCTCCTTTCGGTTCCAAGAACTTTCGGTCCTCAACACCAAGGACCGAACCCTCACCTCAGACCTCGGAACTTCGCCTCCTTTTCCCGGTTTTCGACCCTTTTCACGTTTTAAGCCCATTTTTGGTAATTTCAACGCAGGATTTTCATATAAACCCATATTTTATCATTTTTAACCCTCTAAGATCATAAAATATCCATATCTTAGAGATTTCTAAGATATAATCCATAATATTGATTAGGACAAATTCAAAGTACAAGAAGGTACTTTTGACTTTTCCCATAAAGTTATGACAACAAGCCATCCCCCATACCCACTCTATGACAACCTCCAGTCACTATTCACCTCTAGCTAGTCAACTATTTGTACTTTCACACACTTCTCCAACAAGTTACATTAATCAAGTCTTGGAAAATCCTTATCTCTCCTCCAGGATATTCACTCTTTCACCAAAAGCAAACATATCTCTTTCTCACTTTCTCTCTCTAAAAACTCGAGATTTCAAGGCTGATCTTAAGCCTCCTCTCCACTTTTGGTAAGTATCATCATCATACTCTTGAATATTCTACACTTCTTCACTCAAATCATGGATCTCTCATACAAATATCGTCATATTTGTTCTTAGGATCTTCAAATATTCAAGCATCTTCCAAGTGTTCTTGACTTGGAAACTCCTTTTCTTCAACATCCATCCCAAGAAATCACTCAAGGTGAGTTCATACCCCTACATTTTCAGGTTTTCTTCAAGTTTTAGGGGGGGGGGGGAATACAAGTTTTAACACCAAAAACTTAACTAAACTCAAACATCAGCTTTCAACAGAAAAGTTTAGTTCCATTCACAGACTGTTTTGAACATCTTAAACTTTTTAGTTTTCAAAACTTTACAAGGTGCAAATAGTTCAGGTTTATACCTTTCTAATGACTACTTGCACATCTCCATACGATTTTTCTACAATTTATGGTGATTTTTACAAAACTGCCTATCATTTCAGAAACGAATTCGGACCAGTCTGTGAATATCAACATTTTCACACAAGTTAGAGATCACTAAAAATCATAATAAAAATTATGAACAAACTAGACACATTTTCTAAACTCTCAAAGTTTACGGATTCAGTTTTCGACTTTGTATGATTTTTCTGTGATTTTTCTAAAACAGTGCAGAAAAGTTAAAAACTAGTTAAACAGCTTACAATATTAACAACACTTTGTAACATGTTGGGCAAAGTGTATAACAATAAGTTTCTAAATGTTGAATGTATTTCTTGTTAGTTTAACATCATAAACAGAAATTAGTCATTCATGATAAGGGTTTTCATTCACTTCGAACACGTACAATAAACTATAATAGGTATAGTTTATGGATTTTACATTACAAACATACTACATAAAAGGGGATTTACTTCCACCACAGAAAATGTTTTACATTCAAACCACACGTAAACTCGTTAACGTAAATTGTGAGACAATTCTTCATTGTACTCTTAGAGTACGGGTTAAAATTCATGTAAGTTATAACCAGAGTCTCTTGTAGAGAGAGCGTGATAATTGTATATAGATCTATATTGGGATTGACGCCCCACACCTTGCTGCTAGCTACAGTGGGACCTGCAGGTCTATGGGTGACAAATGTCATAACATTCCGACGCCTGAAAAACGTTGTAGTAGGTTCATTTAGTCATAGTATGGTTATAGCGACTCACATAGGGAGTTAACGACATTTCAAGTTTACGGGAAGTTCTACTTTAAAAGGGGTTTTATCTATATAAAACTGCATACATCGTTACAAGTACGAAACACACACATACATTAGGTCTTGGGGTTTAAGGCTACATAACATTTTATAAGGGAAATATTGGATTTTTCTTGGGTATACATTACATTTACAAACAAAGGTTTTTCGAACTCAGCATCCAAAAGCTTATGAACTCACCAACTTAATTGTTGACACTTTTTCGAAACTATTTGTATTCTCAGAAAATCAGTGAAACAGGTAATCATCATCTTTTGAGGATGGGACGCTAAGAAGTCAAATAATTCATTTTGTCATCATAATGTAATTGATTTTGAAACAGGAAATTCATACTATGGTGTAACCTTTTTCAATTATATTTATGATGGTTGTATTTGCTTTGGTCACTATTATACTCGTGGTTATGATACTATACATGAAGTTCGCCACCCCCGGACGTTTCCGCCATCCTTGGTTTGGGGGTGTGACAACCAACAAATGGAAGAACTTGAGAAGATGTCACTTGCACTCATAAAATAGGCTTGCCCTCTTGTGTTTCCACTCTCTTAGGTCTAGGTGCCGATTTTATAGCCTTGGGGTTTCTTATATAGTCTGGCAAACTAGGGTTACACCATGTAAACCCTAATGACTTTCCATATCCCTCATGCTCCATAGGTTAAAACCTCCATGGAGTATCCATGGGTCACCACATGGGTTTAGCTCAACATGAAGAACTATGGATCATAAGCCCACATTATAAGAATGAATTATTTACATAATCAATCCCCATATATTTAATTAGTCTCTTTCAATCACAAAATTATTTCCAAATTAATTCTTGATCAATTCTAATTAAATAATATGATTTCATATTAATATATTAGAACTTATAATATATTAATAAACCATAAATAACCTCTTCTCAATTATCCATCCTTCAGATTGTTCCGGTGCCATGCAACCCAAATGGACCATGCTACTCTCGGGTCAAGTACATACCAATTATAGTTATGGACTTAGACACTAATCCAACATTATGTGCTTATATTGAGTATTGTGATATCTTGCATTATGTCTTTGTGATTTATGTTGTGTATTATTCTGAGCTTACTGAGTTGTGGGACCGGAGGGTCCCACTGAGACATATTGACTGGAGGGTCTTATTCGAGCATAGCCATGGGAGGCTAATGAGTTATGTTTGGTATTTTGAGGAACTCACTAAGCTTCGTGCTTACCGTGTTATGTGTTATGTGTTTCAGGTACTTCTCAGGATCACGGGAAGGCGCCGGCTTGATTGTACACACGAGGCGGAGTTACATTTTGAGGATCCTAGATTGTGTTTAAAACATTTTATGAATATGTGTTTTTGAAAACATTGCCATTTGGGGTTTTGTGAACTATGTTATGAGAATTACATGATTTTTAAAATGAAAAAATTGTTTGAAAATTTACGGTGTTACACAAATCCTTTCATCTTTCACTTGACTTACATACATATGTAAACAAGGAATCAGTCTTAATTTCCCAAAGATGAAGGTTCTCATTCACCATACAATACAAGTCGCATGATTCCAAGTTTCTGTCCAATTAAAACTTGGGTGATGAGAATCTTTCCTTATTTGGTTGACACTACCACAAATGAAAGAATCAAATTCATTCACAATATTGCTAAGAATATATAAACACCAATTTTCACAAATGCAATTGCAAGGAAATATAAAACAAGACAAAAATCAATTTTTTTATTTATAAAAGTGCGGAAAAACTTGTCCTTACAACACAATTACAAATGAAAACTATGTTACTAAATATTCCTAAGCAATCTATTTAACTCCTAAGTAGCAACTCAAAAATCCAATCATCGAACGATGCGGTCGAAATCCATTTCTTCGTGATCAGACTCAACTCACTTTTCCTTTAAGCTTCATTTCTTTTCTTCGATCCTACAAAACATGAAAATGCAATCTTATCACATCATGTATTAAGAATCTGCAAATAGGAACTTAATAGAGTTAGATAGTGGACTTACCTGAAGTAGAGTCATACATTTTGACTTTTCCATCCTTGCGATCTTTCAGGTAAATATGGCAGCTTCGCATCCAATGCCCATTCTCTTGGCAATAGAAGAATATGGACTCTTTGGGAATGACACAAGGGACTATCTCAGAATCCGCCTTTCTCTTATGATCAAACTTTTTGACCATGACAGATTTCTTTCCCTTAGGAGAAGAAATCCTTTCTGGACAATCGTTGTCATTTCCTATGTCCATGGAAGTTTGGGAAGTAGGTCTACCAATCAAATTTGCTTTACCAATGCGCCAAATCATTGTTGGTTCAGCAGCAATAATCAAATAAGTTAGATCAATGAGGGTCACGTCGTGGTCTTCCATATAGTAGTCCTTAATGAACCCGCTATATGACTTAGGAAGTGATTGAAGAACCAAGTCAACAGCCAGCTTCCTAGAGACATCGACACCCAACATTCCCAGCCTATCAATATGCAACTTCATCTCCAAGACGTGAGCACATACATACTTTCCATCTTCGTGTTTACTTGCCACTAGGGCTTGAGTGACCTTGAACTTTTCAAGCCTTCGAACACGTGGGTCAGGGAGAATTATTTAAGGAGGTGGAGGAAGTGAAGTATGATTTCCATTTCCACGATCCAAACGTGGAACATCATCTTCATGAGGAAAGCCTTTTCCAAAAGATTCGGGAAGACCATAATTGTCAGCATTAGACATCTACAAGAGGGAGAAATTCAAGTTAGTTGATTTAAGTCCTTAATATGACACCCAGGGTCGGCCCAAGGGCTGGGCGAGCTGGGCCACAGCCCAGGGCATCACAAAAACAAGGGCATC